AAATTATACTAACGGAGATTTGCACGCGTTTCCGTCTTTTTTTTCCTGTTGTTATACCGTCCGTTTTCTTTCCGCGATAATCAGCGAGAAGATCAGCGCTAGAACAAGCAGATATTTCCCTTGTCCTTCCGCCAAGAATAAGTCAGCTTTTTATCGACCAACTGACCGGTCTTCTTTTCTCGATTCGCACTTGCCGATATCCATTCTGTATTTCGTTTCTTGTTTTCGAACGGAATTATGATAAATATTAGATCGGTAGCGTTTTCGGTTCTCGCGATATCATTGCGATGCAAATGATACCGCGTCGGATATTAAATTAAATCACATTAATTTTTACATTAATTTTCCGACGGTCATTTTAACAATGTATGTCATATGTCAAACCATTTACAAAAGCATGAAAATTTCATAGACCGTTCTATTATTTCTTCTGAATATCTGTACAAAACCTGAGCAAAATTCTCTAATTTGGAAATTATTTAAGTTTAAAGTTTGTATTCATTCTTATGGAAAATCTCATATTGTAGCATTTATTGACAAATTTGACAAGGAAAAAACATTGCCAACGAAATAAAGATTTTCGCTTATATTAACAAAATTCTAATGAACATTTGTGCAAAACTTGATTTAGATCCACTTATTCATTTAAAAGTTATTTACTAAAAATTATAGCAAAATATTTATAGTAACCCGAAATCTTCCTGTAAATTACTCGTTTTTTTTTGTTTCTTGCAGTTAATTTCAGAAGGTATTCACGACCAAAAGTTTTTGTCATAAATTAGGAAAAATATTAATTACATTTTTTTTCTTTTACGAAGACGTTAAAAACCATATTATTTTGTGATATTTTAATTCTTTTTGTAATCCAGATCTATTATTTAATTTTTTAAGCAATATAAATGTAAGAAATATGTTTTTTTTTAATTTCAACGGTTTTTCGCTACTATTGTACAGCCAAAACATTCTTAACATCATTATCATCCTTATCACAGCGAATTAGCAATAAGATCTGGTCGAAGAGTTGGCGCCATTGAAAGTATCACGTAGTCGCATAAATTGCACTTTTAAAGAGATAAACAATACCGTGAGAAATTTATGACGGTGTGTAACGATGATATACTCTCGATATTGTTTCGCGTTTCGCAAGCGGAAGACAAGAAAGATTTTAAACATGCGCGCAAAAAGACGTATCGCTTATAGAACTTTCAGCGTTATCTAACGGTTTGAATACCACGCACGGGCATTCAATCAGAAGAACGAGGCAAGCAAATAATAACGAGCAGCACGTTGCTCGTGCGCGGAATAATTGGAGCCGTGCAGTTAACCGCCGAGATATATACAAGTTGGGTCAGTACTGAGAACTTTATATACTCCTGTAGAGGAGTTGCAGAACGATAGCTTGCCTAACGAACCAAAGTTCATTCCTACCGACCGACAGACGCGCGAAACAATCGACCAGCGCGCGTTTCAGACGTGATTAGCATGAAAAGAGATGCATGCACGCCGTCGCGCATTCTGTCAGGAAAGAGAAAAAAAAGGAGTACTCAAAGAAGAATATCGAGAAAGTTCAGTAGACGCGTCGGCGAAGGATTTGCCTCACTTACACGATTATTTTCTTAACGGCATTTTTTGTGCGAATAATGTAAAAAATATTTTGTGCGACGGGAGTTATGTACACGCAAATAATTCCTGATTTCCCGCAACGGATATTTCGTCGTTTAAGCCATTAATTCACTCGGAAGAG